AGGCGAGGGATGTAAGAGATAAACGATGAGAAACAAATATACAATATGTGATTTCAACTACCCATTCATACAGCATGGGTTGCATCAGATGAGTACAAGGGACTACTTCCCCCAGTCATAGTAACAGAAGTTAAGGGCGGGGAGAAGGCAAAGGGTTTTGCGGTTGAGCTATTAGCTCCTGTTGTAGCTGGACGGGGGCCGAGGGAGTAGTTTGCTGATTGACGGTGATTGATATCGCTCGACGTCATGTCTAGCGCTCCCTCTAAACTCGCCATAATCGGCATAGGGACAGAGGAAATCCTTTGAGATGCCGGTCTTTCTGTGGAAACATCGGTCGAATTGGTCTTTCCTGAATCACCCGAGTGACTACAGGTATTGTTTGTGCTGGTTAGATCCATAGTACGAGATATAGGGAAGGTGTTATCTATTCCGTTTGAAGCTAAGACTTCCTGATGCCACATGGATAGCCTTGAGAGAATATCCTGGAAGGAGGGACGTTTCATTCCTATTTCTTCCCAGCAGTCTACCATGAGTGCGTAGACCTGCGGTGGGCAGTTATGGGGACAAGGAAGGAGGTACCTAGACTGAACCAAGTCAATGACCTCCGCGTCTGAGTAGAGGTGATATGGTCGCATACCTTCAGTCCAGATCTCCCATAAAAGCACGCCAAATGCCCAGACATCAGATTCAACACTGAAACGGCTGCAGAGGATAGCCTCGATCGGCATCCATCTAACTGGAAGCAGGAGATTATTAGCAGCTGGAACACGGTAGTAATCCATGGCGTACGAATCACGAGCTAATCCAAGGTCAGTGATCTTGCAAAGAAGATTCTCCCCCACTGTGACATTTCTTGCAGCGAGATCACGATGAATGAAGTGGTTCCTTGAAAGATATTCCATTCCTGAGGCGACTTGGAAGGCAATATGAGAACGATCGCTTTCAATCAATGGCTGATTTCTCGGCCAAGTTTGTGAAACACCATTTGTTGATGTCCAATTTCCTTCATCGGAAGAACGTCTTGCAGCCAGAAGAACTTCATGAAGGTCCCCATACAGCGGGGTTTCGAAGAGCATGCACCAAGGAAGTTGATGCAAACTGACTCCAAATATACTCAACAAGTTTGGATGATGTAGCTCTGCCATTATATTCGCTTCACGTCGAAAATCTGTCTGCATTGATGCCGGTGCTCCAGGAGATAGCGTCTTAATTACAAGTGGCGTTGGTTTACTATTCTCATAGTCACTACAAGCCTGCAGTTCACCGGCAAACACAGGTCCAAATACACCTTGTCCAATCCTGTCTCCAAATCTACAAATGCAAATGATATGGATTAACTACTAACATCGGTAAGTAGAGTATGTTGAATTAAGATTTAGAACTTACTTGATTTGGCAGAGGGGATAATTTATGGCCTGGAGGGTTCGATCCATGGGGTCAGAGGTAGTGGAGGGAATTTGATTCTGTTGTTGTTCCATTGGTTCAGTCTGTGAGGCGAAAAGACCGCTATTCGCCATAAGGAACTGTTTTTCACCCCCATCCATTTCACGATCAACTTGAGATGAGTAGACTTGAGTAAAAGCACGATGATTGGACAAATCAAAGGGCGAGTAGTTGGATTGTGGGGGTGGAGGTGCAGGTGATGTCGGCGGAGGTATCATGAGGACATTCTTAGGAGATTGGTACTGATGGTATTGCTGTTGGGTAGGGCTCAATCTTCTATCGAGATTAGGCGAAGTAGCTGTGAGGTAACTATTAGATACAAATGGAGTGGCCTCCGGACAGCCATTGTTTATCTCGGGAATTGGCTGCTTCAACTCCACGGAATTTGGAACGTGCATATGCCGACCTGGTTGTTTCTTTCCAACAGCTGCCGCTTTACCACAAAATGTGCGCATAACACGTGAACCGCCACCGAAGACATCATTTGAATATCCAGTGTGTGAACGACGGCAAACAAAGCAGATCAAGATGATTATCAGTGTGAGAAGAATGAGTACGCCGAATGATATGAAGAGAGGAAGGAGATCGGGAGACTGAGTAGTCGGTTGACCTGTTTGCGGTTGGTAACCTGAAAGGTCTTTCTGGGTGCCTTCAGAATCTGGATCGCGAATGAGATCAGTTAAATCTGGAACAGGAGGCCTCGAACCACTTCGAAGACACGCATCCGGATGACTGGGATCGAATGGTGATAAATTGCTACAGTTCATGAAAAGCTTGGGTGTTGAACCTACAAGGGAACGGAAGAGATTAGTGAATAAATTTCTTGTGGAATAAATTTTTAATAAAAGCCAGATTTGAGACCTCCTAAATACACGGCGACCACACCCCCTCGTGTAATCAATCCATATTTCTAGTTCTCAAGATTTCTCGACAAATTTCAGGGCTGCTCGAACATGACAGAGTCTTTCTGAAGTAATTCATGTTCACAAACTTCAGACAACAAATTCAGTCCCATAGGGAGGGGGGGGTCATTTTGCACTGGTGAAGAGTGCAGAGTGCATAGAATAAATCTTCCAAGACCGAGGCCAAAAAAGTAAACTGATTAATGACTTTTTCTTTGAAATTTAATATTCCCATAAATCTTTTTGAAGTATACAAAGCCTTTCTGCTATAACGTTAAAGTGACACCCTCCCTAGCATGACATTTTCCTATTTTCGTGGCTGAAACAGTTAAAAACCCACTGAAACAGTTGCATTGATTCGAAATTTCAGTGAAAAGCATGTGAGATCGAAGATGAGTAGAAACTTGAGAAGAATATTTAACCTTGAAATTTCTGCTATTGAACTATTCTTACATTGGTTAATCATTCCGATCCTCGAATGTGAGGTGATGAATTTAAACTCTGAAGCAATGTTCACCCCCTAGCTTGCATTAACTTCTATCAAAAGATATGAGTTAGATTTCCTGTGAATATTCCAATCCATCTGTAAGATAACTCTCCCCCCGCCCACCCCGCCTACACCAACCATTATAATCGTTGTGGTGAATTCCACACGTTTTGAATCTAAAGATGTTAACCCCAAGCGATCTCAGTTTGATTCAAACCTCATCGTCGTAAAAACACTCAACCATAGCTGTCGAGTTGCCGCATCAACACAGTCGCAATTTTCCGACTGGCCTAAACGTTATATAGCAGTGGCCAATTCTTATCTCCCCCCCCCCCTATTTATTGCCTCAAAAATACGTCGTATGTAAAGGTTACCTTGTGATTGGGCATCGGGTAGGAGTAGTTTGTAGACACTGCTGCATTCACCCTCTGTGATGACCCGACAATCCTCGAGGCAAAGACGACGTCGGGATGAGGCCTCGGCGAATTTCGAGGCGCTCTCTTCGCTTGGCGGAGGGCAGATGGGAAAGTGATAGTAGCATGTCGCTTCCATTATGCGGCCCAAACAGTCTTTGAAATTCGGGTGCCACTTTCGCATAGTGGCTGAAGAGATCACTAAAACAAGGACAAAAGGAAATGTTCGACTATAAGCCCCGAAAATTAACACGAAAATAACATTGTTCCAGTTATTTTTTTTTGAAGAAGCAAAGATCGTCCTAAGTGGAAGATACAAGCTTTAAATTTGAATATTAATGATGAAGCGCCCTAAATTAGAGATACCACTGAACTGAACATAGTCCATTCAATCAGACATTCGAATATGTCAGAAGAGGAGTTGAAACCTAGGGCCTACATAGAGAGGAACAAAAATTCCGACACTCCACTTATTTGTTGAATGGTTGGAGATATGAATGGCAAGTATCGAAGACGTGATCTCCAGCTTCGCTGACGAGGACTTTAAGTGTGCTGAGCTTCTGGAGATTCGAAACCTTTACACCTCATTAAACAGATGGGAAAATGGGACGGGAAATAGCAGAAATGTTGACTTAAGCAGCCGTTGTTGAAGGAAACCAGTCACGCATGAGGGACAAAAAAGAAGTCGATTTTTTCTCAACCTCCCTTCTCCGATCCCACTCATAATCTAGACCCGTGACATCAACACCAGGAGAGCCAAGAAAGACAAACAACCACCAGGGTGAATAGAGAGAGAGAGAGAGAGAAAGCATCCTGACTCACTAATTCACCAAACTTCTTTTACTTCCGTTTTCTACTCTCCTTTCTGCTTGCACAGCTGTTTTCACCCTAATTGGTGAGCGTACAGGGAAGAAATTAGACCACCCAATGCAGACACCCAGTTAGACTTATTACTCATCCCTCTATCAATGCGTTCGCGATTAGCAGCTGGCTAATAATTAACGCTAAATGTTGAACATCGATCAAATGTCCAATAATCGTGGTGATCGAAAGTTATTATGCCCTTATTGGTTGATGGTGTTAGCGCGCTATTTTTCACCCTACCAATTAAGGGCTTGTAGATGAAATTTTCTTTTCTATTTTCGCACCAATGTGTCTCAGTAACCGCTGAAGAAGAAGAAGGAGGTAATTAAGACTGGCGTGGAAAAAAGGTGATATATTAAGCCTTCCCCGCCTATTCTGTCCCGATAGCAAAGACATATTTAAACTCATTAACGTGCACTTTAAGAAATCTTTTCAAGTGAAAACACAAAGTGAGTAATGGAAAGGGGGGAGGGAGGAGAACAGAAATTAGCTTTAACCTTTTTTTATGAAATGTATTCCCTTGTCGTTTATTAAAAGGCGACAATGATTCATTCCACCAAGAGTGCTCCCTGATTCATTTATTTTATGTGAATTAATCAGAGTGGCCACCCATGGGGAACCATGGCAACACATTTAGAACCATAGTTCAGCCTATTAAAACCCGGATGAAAATGTCAAGAGACTTCAACACTAGATTTGATGATTCTTACGTTTAGTGATTTGTTGCTCCACCAGGGTTTGGTGAAGGGCCGTGGAAACAAAAACACGATGACCATTCAAGTAGCGAACGCAGACATTGCTTTGGAAGACTTGACAGAATCCGCTCTCTGACTCCGAGCCACTAAAAAAAGGGAAGAAATAAGCTAAGACTACGATGCTATCAGTTGCTATACCCAATAAACTAAGATGAAACCCGCATTTTTTAAATAAAACCCAATCGGCTTTCGTAGCGATAGCATCTAGGCGGTGTAAAATAAGACCATTCCCATTTTTGAAATGTGGGCAGTTTGAGGAAAAAAAATTGACTGAACATTGGAGTCTGAAAATGAATGCTTATTCACAGCTAACAAGACGGCTGTTCTGTTCATCAACTCAGTCTTGCCCACAGATTCATTTCAAGACATTTTTCAAGGGGTTATAGACAGACCTCCCTTTTTTCCTGCCCAAAGTGGTGAACTAAAAATCATACATTGATTAATAGTCAGAATAGTAATAATAATGGATTCTAGCTCCTAATTGCACCTTCAGTTACCGGTAATTCTCATTCAGCTTCTGAAATGTTTGAACTATTTATAGTGTAATTCCTGACGAAGATTTAACAATTCAAATAAAATTGAACGACTTCATAAGTAGCAAATTCAATGACATTTTGCGTAATGACTGTCAAACTCCAATTGAATCAAAGATGCATATACATCGAACTTTTTCAAATTCATCCAACGGTCTACCAATTCATGACGGGCCTACCTACAGTGGCTTTAAGGCTCCTCCATTGAGTTTGTTTTGCCGCATTTGTTTAATGAATATAGCAGATGAATTGGTATTTTCAATTAGAGGACCAAATTAATGTGTTTAGTCTAGGTAATCTCAAGTGTCTTGTCAGTACTGTTGAGACATCTTCCAGGACTATTTACGCAACAAGAAAAAATTTTGTCTCGGTAACTTGAACAAGTACTCACTTTTTCAATATTATTGGAACACTTCTAAACAGACGAACTCCCGTAACTCGAAGTTCTTCTACGTTGTACTGCGAGGTTATTTTCCAAGGGTAAACAAGAAAAGGCTATGAGGGCAGGTATGCTCCTCAGTTTCATCTCACAGCCCAAGAGTTTAAAATGGCCTAGAGAGATGGAAACCGTCCCCCTAATGAAAATGAACGCTTCCCCGAAGTGCAAAACAATTCGCTTTTCCTTAACAGCTATCACCGACCTACTTGCATATTCGAGGCAAAAAGCTATTTTCAATGCATCGCGACCAAATTTATACGCAAAAAAAGATTTTTCAACAAAAGGGAGCACTCACCTATGAGTATTCCTGGCCGCCCATTGCGATTGTGGAGGTGTGAGAAGGCCTAAAAAGGTGGGAAGAAAGTGAAATGACAAATTATAAGTTGTCCGACCATTCGCGCTCCTCAGATTTGCTCAAAGGAATGAAAGAAGCGGTGAGAAAAGTGATGATGAGAGGAGAGGGAAGAAGACTCATGTAGCAATGACTCATTAGCTGAGGGGAGTAAATTGCAGATTTCGGCGGAGCGTTTTCTGCACGAGCTCCTTTAATTCTCCTTCTGAGCAGGAGTACAGGAAGGAAGAAGAGGGGAAGAACTCATGGGTCATAAACTATGCCCACTAGAAGGGAGTTGTATGACCGTAGGAAATGAGTTGGAAACACGCCTGGACTGAGTAATTAAGCATTAGGACTCTGAGGTATTTATGACTGAATCAATGCATAAAGGGGATAAATTGATTCCAATTAAGCCAATAGTCTCCGCTATAACCAATCTAATTAAAATTTTAGAAATGAGTGTAGCATGCAGACAAGGTGTTGGGTATAGCTACATATTTGCATGAGTAACTGTGTGTTATCTCGAACTAATCCTTTCTAAGGCTTGTCATGGAAAGGCTACCAACAACATCAAATAGTCCTCCTCGTTTATTTCGGACTCATAGAGAGATGAGTCATTGGCTGCTTAAAAAAAATTAGGAATCGGGTAGAAATAACGAGCGTCGGAGGCTACTTTTTCGTGTGCCTTTGATTCACCCTAACACGTAACTACAAGGGAGGGAGAGGGCGGGGGGAGTGACGATAATTGTTTGCATTCATTCACTAAGGCGGGTTTGATTAACAAAAAATAATCATTCGGAAAGCTGCTGATAATCTGAACTTTATTTGCTGATTTGTCCTCACTTGAAAGAGAGAGAAAAAAACTATTCCTTTTGTATAGCCAAGTACTCCATTTAACTAGTCCGTTGAACCAAGATGGATTCTGCTGAATGGCCTGATTTTGTGTTCCCCCGGTTAAGCAGAATAAGGCTCTATTGAAGGAACAAAATTTCGCTTCGAAGCTTTTGAGCAAAGAGATTCATGAATAAATGACTCATTCGCTGAGCACAGATGAGATAGTGACAAATTTCCCTGCGATATCATGTGAGTATGCAAAATTAGAGGATTGCAGAATGAAGATCAACACTCACCTGGTCTTTTCTGCTTCGATTGTTCCGGAATAAGCCAGGCCGAGGTTGAACGTTTACCAGATGGATTCTCTGCAGTGCAGGTGTATCGACCAAAGTCCTTCTGAGTTGGCTTCCTTATCCGCAAACTGAAGGAAATAAAGTTTAGATATTACTCCACCTCTTACCAATGTCATCCCCTCCCCTCCTTAATGAGTCTATGTGACCATATTCCTATGATGACAGTTCTTCTCCAACGCATGGTAAAGGCATTTGACGACCTAACATCTCCCCAAAGCGCTCCACGTTCACGCTAAAACTGTAGACTCTCAGGCAAGAAGGAGCCTCACTCTATTCAGGCCTTTCAAATTCACTTCTTTGCGAGGCAATGCAATGGAATAGAAACCAAAAGTACCGAAGGGAGAAGAGTAAAATTATAATGAGAGGCTGAAAATTTCCCCTACTAGGCAAGCGTCCTTTGATTATAAAACCGGCGAAAAATACTTGTTCTTAGCGCAAGCGTTCTACAAAATACACAATTTTGCAAGGATTGAAATAGTAAGCAATTCGTTGGACGATTTCGGCGTAATTTTCCGACTTGTTCAATATTGCCTTGGTTTTGTTTTTTGAAATTGTTTCTTTAAGGCAAACTCTTTTCATTAGAATGGTTTGTTATTTGGAGGGGGGGGGGGACAAGTTTTAAATTAGAACAGGATGAGCCATCCCCCCCGCCCCTGTGACGCCTAATAATCGAATAGTATTTAAGCAAGAACTAAACCTAGCTTCTGAAACTCCCTCGCGGTACTACGTTAGATAGAAAAAGGTTTAATAATATCTATGCGTGGAATCACGGAGGCATTCAGCAATTGCGATTTGTCTTTTGAGCGCAGAAAATATACATTAAGACACAAAAGGAGAAACAGGAGCCCTTTCAATGCACCAATGTCGATGACACAGTAGCCAGCGTGCATGTCTGTCATGCCGGAGATCATGATGGAAATGCTCTTCAGCGTACATTCAGGGGCATAGGTGATCAACCACATTTGTTAATTCTAGTGAACTTCTTATTTTAGAGCCCATTCCAGATACTTCCCTTAATGAGGCGGGGAAACGTAAAAGTTGCCAGTTAAAGTGTACGTGAATTATCATTGTATAGTGTGCATGAACTTTCTACTTAAACAAATAGTGGTTCATTCATTGAAACATGCATCAAATATGATCAATTCATGGAAAAAGAATGAGTGTGATAACTTCTCAAGATATTTTTTACTCAGACACAACTAAACAACGCCCACCAGATCTGAGGTCCCGAATTCAACGCGCGTTCGTGAGCATTCGCTGGGCATCTCATGAGAAAAATTGGCCTATAATGCGATAAACCTTCACTATACCATCTATTTTCCAGAAAGGCCGTTCTAACGTGACTTCCAATCTGACAGAAAAACGAGACGCTACTCAGCAAACGCATTGGCCGAACAAAAAACTGCGCTCGCCCATCAAAAGAGGGAAAAGTGGCATGATGGTCATTCTTTTCCCCTTCCTACGAATTAGTCACACGTTCAGATCCCAGTGGGGGATAATGTCTCCTTCACCCGCCTCCCCCCCCCCCCCCCCCCCCCCCCCCCCCCACCCCATGCCCTCACAACACACAACGGCAAAATGGGCTGCAAAGTGCAATGAATGTCCTCCTGTCCCATGTCAGGGCGATTAATTTTACCTCAGAGAATCAAGCCAATTATTCAAGCACATACGCATACACAAAAAGTAACCTAAAAGGCTGTATAATCCGCTCTTCAGTCTGATTCACATGCCAGTTTGCCGTCTTGGGGGGTGACATGCGTTATGTCAGTGAATTGGAAACCTACAAGGCGGCATAAATCAGTAGGAGAGTAATGATTTATTGACAGCTGGCGTGACCAAATGGCCTCACTCACTGAGAGGTAAAAATTCTTAGTGAAAGGAGTAAAAAAACTTCAAGGTTGCCATAAGGTAGATAGTGTCTGTTTTACAACTACTTTGAAATGTATTATAGACAATCGATATTTAATGGCATTTAAAAGGGATATCACAGGGCTATAACTTTCTATTGTCTGAATCGCCCATCGATGATCACCCAGACACTCCACTGTGTCCCCCGAATTGATCCAACTTTCTTGGCCCGCTCAAAATTCACAAACACTTGGTTGAAAGCTTGCCCGACATTTGGATCTATTTCTAATACTCCTTATCTCTACACCACCGGATTTAATCTCCGAGCACCGCTATCTTCCATATCCATTCGCCAACTGTAGGTATAATTCACTATCCTTTTCTATTGCTTTTCATTAAACTCGAAGACCCATTCAATCATTTGTCTTCTTTTCTTCTGTAGCTCCGTCTCTCGTGCTTCTGGTGACCCAGTATTTTACCTTGATTCAATCTCTACTTGTAATTTTAAGAAGAGTTGTGCATTTTATTGATTATCATGCTTACCAAAGATATATCTCAAAAGATTCTGCCCAATAGTCAACTTTTTATCTTGAAAAGTGGAATTTGAAGTCTTCAAATCTTAACCAGTCACTGAAACGAATTTGGCAATCGACCTAGTACTGAACATAGTATCTTATACGTACGGTACAAATGGAGAGAATTTTTTCAGCATCTAACAAGGAAAGTGGACAAAAAATTACTGTGGTAGTATGACAAAGTGATTTCGCATTCCACCCTAGTTAACAATTCACACCTTCCATTAGAGATCGAAATTATCTAACCACAATATTAGGGAGACGAGATATTTGCTGCAACTAAAATTGAAACCAAATAAGTGAACAAGGACACCTAAACAACAAAACCTAAACTCTCACCCCCTCCCACCATCAAGCCACTGAAAGCGTGAATGAATAGGAGAATAAAGAGAATTGGAGATAGTGGAAGTCAGCCGCTTGTGACTCACACAATTGAGTGAATGATAACTACAAGAATAACAAACTAAGTGCGGTTATTATCGGCCTGGTCGAATCGATGTGTGTGGCCTGAAATTAGTCCACTTTGGCTTAAGGACACAATGTCTGAATCAACTGCTCCGACGTCTAATTATTTCCCAGCCGATGTGCCAGAAAATTGAAACCTTGACCTCATAGATTATATCGGGCTACCTGAGGTGAGCTGGCCAACTTGTAACCATGACACTATATAGACAAGTAAACGATTTAATAATGGCATGGAAACATATTCACAATGGGAAATAATAAGACTATATACCACGTCCAGCAATACAGCCAACTAGACACAAAGGAATGGCCAAATGATGGTAAGCAGATAATTTTAATTCAATTAAGAAAATTTTTAAGAATGACAATCCATAACATAAACAGTGAGGCAATGATCAGTAAAAAAGGTGTCTTAAAATTCTAATTATCTTCGACAACTGACAACTTATTATTATATTCAGGTAGTGGGGTGTGTGATAGACTTACCTCCACGTGGTGAACCCTGGGCAACGTATACTCATACGGCAAAAAAAGTCCATTAACCGACAGTTGACTTCTGACTCCAAACCACCATCACCCCACTGTATGTCATATTCGACTACTTTCACGGTACTCACCTCACCTTTTTTCTACCTTTGTGTCTGTCTCTTTTACATCTTTGAATCACTCTTCTGTCTCCCTCCCCCCCCCCCCCCCCAAGACTTTTTTCACTTTGATGTTCCTTCCCCTCTGTGAAGCCTGAAGTCAACTAAAGGGCTAATGATAACTATCAAAATGCCTGCCATTTGATATAGATAAATATTCAGGTAGTATAAAGCCAACTGCCGAATAATAGACTTTTTGCCGTATAAGTTTACGTTGGCCCAGGGTGCACCACGTGGAGGTAAGTTAAACCCTCCATTTCATCAACCTCCATAACCTGCCTTAAGGAAAATGCGATCGATGAATAAATATGCAAAGTGATTTATTGACTTTAAAAACTCCTGTTTTGGGATGCAGAATTCCTAGTCGATTTTGGGGGAAACATTTCCCATAGTTAGATGGAAAACTTTCGGGAAGGTAAAGCAGAAAGAAAATAGATCATCCAAAGAACCAATGACCACTTTCAGTTTAGGTATTTTCTTAATTGCATTTATTGCCATCAAGTATACCTTCCACCAAGGCATCTAATCCAATTTGATAGCGACTGAGCGAATGAAATTTTAGGTCGCCATATTTGTAACGAAAAGACATTGAATGATACTAAAAATGCTACCACCACACTGAAACATATCACGAACACTCCAAGACTATGTTGTTCAGGAAACGATACAACTACCAAAACTCTTGTAAGCAACCCCACCCCCCCCCCCCCCCCCCCCCCCCCCCACCCCCCAGGCCCCAGGTCTCACAAATAAAACCTCTCAGGCTTCCTTATGACTCATTCTCAGACCTCTGAATTTCGCTATTATTCGAATACAGCCAATCTCCTATGTGGTACATGCTCTGTGTGTGATTGTTTGAATTTGCGTGTATTTTCAAAGATATGTTACAATTCAATCCCTTCACAAAGAAAAATCTTGATTTATAGAACCTTGTGGTTAACCTGCGTCGAATATTTACGACTTTTAAGAAAATGCTAATGGGCGAACATGTGAAATTTGGAAGACACGCATTTGGTGCTAATTGAAGCCCGGTGGTTTATATGTGGTTTATGTGGATCGCAAAGTCTACACACACATCAGTGGACAAATATGGATTTCATACAGAGGGGATTCAGGGTACCTTCTCCCCAATCAGTTCAAGTCTCACGAATACTCGCATTTAGTGGGTTTGTAGGCTTACATTCCATCTTAAATGCTAGAACACTCAACTTTACATTGGTCTTATTCCTAATGATGGATTGCTGCTGAAATCATTCATCCAGAAAAAATATCTGTTTAGGGTATGATGCCCATGAAAAAAACACTTTTAAGCTTACATTTTAAGGCAATACCGCTATCGTAACTTAAAACAAGTCGCTGACTTGCCTACAAAAGAATTTCCAATTCCCTGATTGAAAACCTTATTAATTTTACGATTTTGTCAGTTTGCACTACGCCAATGCAGAGGAGAGTTCAAATGAAAATCAAATCTCAACGCATCGAAAAGCAATATTGAGTGGTGAACGCGATTGACTGGGGCCCCTTGTAAAAGTACATTATGCAATTAAAAAAATCTGTCAGCCCGCTTAATAATCGTTGTAATAATGCATAATGAAGGGATGAACTCTTTAATTGCTTTTCCAGATAATAAAAGTCAATATTCAGAGAGATAAGGCACATTGAGGACTCCGATTGAGAAGTCCATATTCCCTCAGTATCAATCATTACAGTTGGTCAGAATTTTCCAAAGAACAGGTCTTAATCTCCTATATAACGGATTTGTAGGCCGATGGCTAGGAAGTTCGTATTTCAGGAGTTCGAAATTCAAAAAACAGCCCCAAATTATACACGTGTCTTGCAACACCAAGATTTGCACTGTCCGCTACAAGCATGGATAATTCCAATTAATCTGTGAAATTTGGGCTTCTTTAGGAACCGATTTCCATGTTAATTGAAGCAATCATTTCACCTAGACTCCTCCCCACCCCCCACCCCACCCTATTATTTCAATTCGGACAGTTTAATTTACATTTGTTAAATCCCAGGACCATAGCTATTTCTTGTGTGCAAGACGCGATTTACTCGTTCTACCGAAAAATTCTGTGTCAATATGCATGCATATCAGATGGATGAAATGTTAATTAGAGGAGAAACAAAACCAGCCGTACCATAGCTAATTATAAATCAATTTATGGAACTTAGGAAAACCCACCTGCTGCCCCAGAGTTCATCTCTGACAAGAAAACGTCCTGAGTGATCGTCGCGTTTGATTGGCATATTATTGTGATACCAGGTGATGTTGGGTATAGGTTGGCCCACAATATCACAGAAGAAGCGCACCGTCTTGTTTTCCGGGTTGTAGGTCGAATTGCGCATCTCCTCCTGTAGTTTTATGAAGCCTGGAAGTGGGCGGAAAAGAGCGAATTAAAAAAACCAATATTTCACAAGTTCACCTCTAACATTTAATTATAGAGGGAGAGATGAGCTCATGAGATTTTATCCAAAACATGATTGAAGAATTAGTATACCAGAGTTCCCATTACACGCCACTTTAAAATTTATTTCTTTAACGATTTTGGAGCAGGGATGGAGAGCTTATGTTTCAGTTAAGTTAAATTATCTTCCCTCATCATTTTGGCGTCAGTAGCTTTGGCTAAAGGAAATGCTCTGTGAGTAAATTAAGTGTTGATCAAAAATGGGAGCTTATTAGACAAACATCCCTAGGAATTCTTGCCTAAAACCATCTAAAGATGGAGATTTATTTGCAGACACTTTTGGCTATTCTCCAAATCCTGAAGAACCTTAGTTTCGTTCAAAGTTCACGAAATGCAGTATTGAAGTGGGAAACTCCTGATTCTATTTCAAACACCGTTACTAAGTTCCGAAGAACGGCCTCATACCTTGCGCCCTCCTTTGAGAAGTCAGAGGTCAAGGAATCGATCCACATTCAGTGAAGAGAATGGTCGACTGTGCCGATCAAGCAAGAAGAATGATGAAATTCAAGCTCCTTAGAAGAGAGATTTCACGTTAATATGCCTTAACCAGTAGTGGGCACAGGTTGACACATTTCAGGAGGCCTTTGCCTTCACGCCCCCCCCCCCCCCCCCCCCCTCCCCCCCAACCACCAAAAGAGGTCTGAGCGTCTCGAATGTAATCGAAAGTAGTTCGCCTAATTAACTATTCATCAGTTCACAATCTACATCTAATTCCTCTCTCCCCTCGCATCATTTTTATTCAGAATCTCGGACAGGCAACAATGTATCGTTTTGAAAAGGGAAGAGCGCGTAGATTATCATGTAGGTTTCATGTGAATTCGCAACAAAGTGACATAGCATATGGGAGTTACTTGAGACCCACATATGTCTACCCGCCAGTCCGTATGTTTAAGGAACCTGGTTAGAGGCGAAGCGTCCAGAAACCCGGTCGGTACCCCCCGGTAGTTCTCACAAAAGGGAGAGTGGAGGTAGAGGCGGGCACTAATGGACTCAATTAGTGTTCCTTGTGTAAATAAATACACGAATATTGACTCAAATAGGAGACTGCTGGGTGCCTTTCTAGATAATATAAATTTGGGCCATAAAAGAGATTTTGAAGAATATTTTACATATACTAGAGATACCAACAACACATCGCGCATTTTTGAAAAAGAAAGTCGGATTTCAGTTTGTGTGATGACACCGAGATGGGAAAAAAATCTCGACAAGTTCTTTTCACGAGACAAATTATTCCATAATTTATGAAGTTTATTTAACAGAAAAGGGGGTAATTCTCCAAAATGGTAATTTATGGGCCAATTAAAAAGAAATAAAGTGATTGGATCCACCAAAACCTCTCTATTCACTAGACTTCACCTCACCTAGTGCCACTCTTTCAAGTCCAGTGGCCATACTCTAGGAGAAAATTATAATGATTCCGAAATGCAACCGAAATTGAAAAACCGCTTGAATAAGTGAGTTGCCAATTATTTTCAAAAAGAAGATCAAAAAACTACAAGAGAAATTGAATAGTAGTGGGAAATATATGTTGTGTTAAGGCCTTTGCTTTAAACTGCGCGATTTTTATTGGCCGCTCGAATAGAGGCTGAGTAAAAGTGAAGATACAAATTATCCTGCTTAAAAGGAAGTTAGCGAGGCGGAAACCTTCTAACTAACTTCTCTCAACAAAACGTCCGCATTTTTTCCCACCTAAGATCTTTGCTTTTTAGGCAATGTATTTTTTTGTAAGTCCAGGGTATAATGTAATATTTCTGCCAAGTTGGAAATTTATCCTCCTTCTTCTAACTTTCATCTTTTCAACAGTTGCCTAAAGTAAAGTTGGAAAAAGATGAGCGGAAGATGAATGGTCACAAGATTTCGATTGAACCATTGTTCTTCGCTTACTAGGCTTCACAGATCGTTCCACAAAAACTTTGTTTTAAGGTTGCCTCGCTGACGAAATAGTGCTAATGATAGTTCTCGAACTCAGACAACCGCCATATTAACTATCCTTAACCAGTGTTGTTGTCCAAGCCCCTCTCACTAGGTTTGCAACGATAAGGATCAAGCCCATAACCTCGGGCTTGGTAGACGAGCATGATGGCCACCTATACTGAAAGCTTTTTAAGGGAGAGGGGAGAGGGGAGAGGGGAGGGGGGTTGTCTGGAGACATCCCTTAGCGAAGAATGATAAGCGCTATTGTGAAATCCACATTACTGGATTTGAACCCACGAACATCCACATGATCAGATATCAACCCACCGACTTTTTACCATGCCTCAAGGAAATTAATCTTCAGAAAAAAAGCACAGAGAAAAGCTGGATTCATTCTCAAATTAGACATTGTCACCGAAAGTGCATATTAACGATGCACAAGTCCAGCTGCTGGGTTGAAATCTCTCAATTTCATCTTGTCTTTCTTCTTCTTCTTCTCCTTAAATCTAGGTCAGAGAGCTGTCGAGATGAATGTGGTTTTAGATCCGATTACTTGAGTCTGTATCAACTGTCTGGCTAAGAATTCTTTTATTTCGTGGAATCAGTTTTGCCATTGGTTATGGATGGCCCGCTAGCAGGTTACTCATTTCGTCACCAGGGGGGCGATGCAGGATTTGATTGTAGCACAGGATTTATTTCAAAAGGAAAAATGTTGTCTAATGGAAATGTCTATAAATATGATTATCCAAAAAATTTTATATGGAGATTAAATAAATTACTTCATCCATGGAAAGTGTTTACAATGAAACATTGACTTCCGTTTCTCTCTGCTTTCTTTGAAACAATTTGTAGATAAGGATAATTGTTTCGAGATAATTATAAAAAAGGACATGAACGGGGATTAGAAGAGAGAGAGAGAGATATTGAAAATTTGGGAATTTATCGTTTTGGCTCTTAAACGTGGACGATCTGTAACTATCCAGTGGACTCCCTTTCTAAGTGCCACTACTACAAAATTGCTCATTTACCAGATTGCAACATTTTTTTAACTAATTTGTGTAGATCCGAGTTCTATTAACCTTCATTACACAGTTACCTTTCAAATACAGCTCAACTATACTAGGGAGGCATTAAGCACAAACTACTGAGGCCTGGATTAGGCGCATATAAACGCCTTCCTCAATAAAGACAGCAGAGAGAGAACAATCAAAGCGAAGTCATAAACCATCGCAGCACCCCACAGGCAGGCAGGAGAAACACACGGCAGAGAGAGAGAGAGAGGGAGGGCGGGCGGGCGCAAGAGGGAGAGAGAGAGAATTTCATCCAACTATTTGCCAAAGCGAAATAAAACGCAGAGGGAATATATGGTTAGAGATAGGAGAAAGTGTGTGTTGCTCATGAATAATGCTAGCCACACAAACCCACTAGATTGAGTCACAGGAAGAGGCGAGAGAGAAAGAGAGAGAGGGAGTCAAGCGGAGCAAGGAAAATGAATCAATTTACTAGGAATTTTCTAGTAAGAATTTGAAAGAGGTAGAAGGGAGGGAGAGAGAGAGAGCGAGAGTGAGGCGGATGACTGAGTGTCTGCCTGCTTCTCAAAATTATTTCAACTTGCAACCGCAGTCCCGAAAACAAACGCCGCTGCTGCCACAGCCAAAAACCCAAAACAACTGCTTGAGTCATGCAATGTCATGAATAGGCACAAAAAACAGGCTGTGGTTCAATTTCCATTTGGCCAACTGTAATGATAACCAACTACTGACTTCAGTAGTTGGTGTAATTATAACTCAGTGAGTGGATTGGTCACTTCCTCCTCTCTGCTTGAGGAATACCTCTGGGCATTTATAGTCGTGGAAAAAAAACGACGCAAAGAATACAGAAGACTTTGCTAATTGTTGTAAAACCTTTGCTATTAAGGATAACCTCGAATAGCGAACGAAATGTCGCTCGTCCAGTTGGAGGAAGCAGATTTACAAAAAATTAGGAATAAGAGACTAAATGGATATTAGCTACTTTACCACACAATTGAAAAACAATAGCCCCCTCAAAAATAGATGATTGCATAGACACAGGCACTTTTTCCTTCGCGATGCAATTCCTCCCACTAAATGAATGGAAATACGTGTATGCGACAGCACCGAACGAGTTCTTCCCTTATATTTAAATGCGTATGCCATTTCGGAATATGTAAACAAACATTTAGCGCGCAGCCTCCGAATGACCTTTTAGAGTTAATCAATTTAAGTTACGTCGTTATTATTCCTCAAGGGGAATGCTGTAATATTAAGTTGAATAGCCCACTTACCACCGTGTGTAGGTGACATTGGCTTTGGCACGAAGGGGACGCTGAAATAGAAATAAGTAGGCGGTGGTCAGGCAAAGTTGTAACATAAATGGGTGATACTGATGAAACTCACTTTTCAGGATTAAATTCTTGACCCAAGAAATTATGGTTCATAGCTCCAGCAGATCCTTCTGATTCCATATCATCTAAGCCCTCTTCGTCTTCCTCATCTTCCTCAGAATTATCGATTATTGGGGCCTCCGCGTCGAAATTTATATAGTCCGGTATATGTCCATCTAACACCGGAATAGTGTCTGGGGTCTTTGGGACCTTCATATCATCCGTTGCCCTGGGATTTCGAGCATCACTGGGATAGGGGAATGAAGCTACCATCAACAGAATGAGGAGAAAGATTTGCCGTGAACGCATTGCTGAGTTTCTACAATAGATAGAAAACACCGATAAAAGATTTCAAGTGTAATTAGTGAATGGATCTCATGGAAGCCTAAAAAACGAGAGGCCCGGACAAGTTGACTATTCGCTGTCAGCTAGGTTAGAGGAGGAATAAAGGACAGAGAGAATGCAGACGTGGTAAGAAGTGCGAAGAAATAGATTAGCAGTTCAACAAAATATATTTCTAAATAGCCTCCTTAAAAGATATAAAATCAATTGTCAATTTGAAAAGAGTAGTGTCTTGGTTATGATCTCAGCAGGTATTTAGAGGCACAAATCTGGAGAAAGAAAAGGAATTTTCAGTTAAAATGTGTAATAAGAGTGCTTTGGCTGTAGATAGGTCAATGCTCTCAGAATTCAAATAAAGTTAACTTCATGATGTCCTGAACCCCCTAACCACTTCTATTTGTCCATTTCGATTCAGGTTAGATATTTACATATAGAACCTCATAATTGGTCATTCATGTCCCACCCCCTCAATGAGCGAGTTGCAGACCAATCAGTACAAAGTCCTTTCCACAATTTTATGAGGACAGAGAGTTGAAGGGTGGTCATTTATTTGCAACGGTAATCATCCATTGCCGCAACTTCCCTTCTGTTGATTTATGTTCTAAAGGCGAGAGAAGCCAAGTGGGCGAGAAAAGTAATACCCTAAGGGGTGAAAAAATGTGGAAGAAAGCATCCACACCCAAAAGCTACCATTACCCCCAAGTTAACCTCTCTCTCCCCCTCTCCCTCTTCCCTGACTTGTCTTATCTAAACAAGTCATCGCGTACAACACAAATCCCGTAGGCTGACATCTACGTGGTTGCTAAGTCTAAAATAGGAATAAGCAGAATTCTTACGAAATGTCCGTAATTTGAAATGAAGGGAAACGAGGTCCTCTAACGATGGAGAATAAAAGTGAGTCAAGAGAGAGAGAGAGAGAGCCTTTCTCCCTTGGTTTGAAAGGGGGTCACGGGGGGGGGGATTGCAGACCGAAATCTGGGATCCCATCAGAAAAAAATTAACGTCAAGCAAACATCCCTCATTTACACCATGGGATGACGCAATGAAGAGAAATTCACAAAAAAACATAAGAGAAAAAATACTTTAATCAACCCATTGTACGATAGAAATATATCCAACTTTGTCTAATAGTCGCCTTGACAGAGGCAAAACAATTGTTTTTTTGTATTTCCTATACACACACTCTCCAAGAATTAAAATGAGGTGATAAACCATGTGCAAATAAATTTTCAGTTACCCCACTTAGCCTAATTTCCCACTTCATTCCTCATATCAATTATGGCTTCCAATTTCAAGAGACCACAGCAGTATCGAACTCCTTCCAATACTATGTTAAGTGATTTCGTGAAATCACGAAAGGGGGTACTTCAGATCATGTTCTGTCTTAGTCAAGTAAATTTTAGGCCAGAACTCTCTCTTCCTTCCATATAGTATAAAACTTGACGAAATCAACGCCTGAAAGATTTAGTCCTCTCTCAAATTCGACCCCCCCCCCTCGCCACCCCTATTTTGCAATTTTACAAGTTTTCATTGGACGAACGTTAGCAAAGTATTAGAAATTCGGAACCTCGGTCTTCAAGGCGTGCACTAGACACTTGCTCATTGAGTACTTGCGGAATTCTCTTTGTCGAGAAGTCGGTTAGTAGCAAGAGGATAGATGAAGTTAAAAAAAACATTGGAATTGAAAGAGAGAATGTAATTTTAAAGTGAACGAAAATAACCGGATACATACGAGGACATCTGACTTGTATAGGAGGCTCGGTTTACAATGGCTCCGCGCCGATTGTAGGAGGTCGCCTACAAACGCGACCAAAGCCCGCATACTCGAATAGATGCCTGTGAATAGTCGCTCCCAAACCAAAAATGAGTAATTCATTCGTGAATAGAGTAGCGCGCCTATTTCAACTTCTATAAAGCATTTCAAGGCCCCACTCCAACCCATCCCCTCATCCCACTCCTCCTTTCACGAATGACTAAGATGTAGGGAACATTTTTGCCATGTTTAATTAATAAGTTATAATAACTGCCAAGCATGTACATTCCCTTTTCTCTCTCTCTCTCTCTCTCTCTCTTTACACAACAAGTAATCAGATTAGACCTAAGTGCGTCGGAAGATACATAGAGAAAAAAACAGGAATTAATGAAATCAAGAAACTTCAATGAGAGCAGAGCGGAATATCAGATAACCCCTCCCCCCCCACACTCCAACCTTCCATTACAGCCCTTTTGGATAAATTAGATTTAAAGTGAATATGTTTAACGAGGAAAAAAGAGGTAGCTATATTAGCAGATAGGCTATTGTGTTGCCACCGTGTTTGCTAGACAATAAATCAAACGGGTTACGAGAGTGAGAAGGAGGAGATTGAGCTGAGGAAGGGAAGGGAAGGTGGTAGGGGATTTGGCTTGTAACCACTTCACTTCGCTTCCACCACACGCAACGGTTGTCAGACACTCATTCTCCTTGATCTGTGGGGATGACTTTTGTGGGTGGTAAGCTTTACCGTTCCAGTTACACTTCAACCTCGCGTAGTAATTCTAAGTCATCAAACTGGGAGGTAAAGGGAGATACGCCTTAATAACTGCTGAGGTGATAAAAGACAGGAATGGCAGATAGGAGGGTGGGAGGGGGGGGGGGGGGGTGGGAGGAGGACGACTGTCAGATTTTAAAGTTTTTTAAAGTTGAAATCTTATTCGAAATTGGCCCACTTCCTTCAACTCAATTTCCAAAGCTATGGGCCCGTGGTTTTTTATAGTTAATTGAAGCCAAAAAAAACAATAGTTAAAGGTGATCTTCCTTTTATTAAAAGATTTAATGTAATAATTCAACTTTAAATTTTAGGATTACTCGCTATCGATCCGCATTGTCTGCATAGGAAATTTGGTGAAATGTATCGGCCTCCTCTTTTAAAACAATTCCCAATTAAAATTACTATTTTCAACAATGGGAAAAAATTAAATTAATGAGCCTTAAAACTTTGTAATGATTTTACATTCCATAAGCACACCATTAGTGGTAGAGAGTTAAGTGGACTTCCCGCTTGACAGAGTTTCGCTTCCCCATTGCAGCTGGCAAAAGGCGGGTAGTTAATTTTTTTACAGAGGTCCAGAAGCGTAAATTATGGCTTTAAATTGGAAGCCAACTCCGTATTTACTCAATCGTAAATCTCTCAGTCACCTAAATAGCCAAGAAACCGGCATGATGAATGTTAGTTGTCAAAGCACCGTAGGATTGTTTTTTACGTCTCCACTACTATATGCCTCCTCTCTCTCCCTCTCTCGTCATTTATTCCTTAATAACAGCAACTGAAATCCGTTGGAATTCTAGAAATTAAGCTAAATCAGAGACACCAGACGGGGATTGTTTTCAACAAAACAGAGGGCAAAAAAGTAGGAAGATGAGAAAAGGGAGAATGGGAGAAAAAAGTGAGGTAGTTCTTGACGAGTCTAATCTCTTTTGCTTCACCAAATTCCAGCTTCTACGGTCAGTCGACGTTTAGCAGACGGATAGAAGAACACACCAGCTTTTTACATTGGTGTAGAAAAGGAAAAAAAACTGTGAGGAGTTTTTTTGGTCCGAAACACGATGAATCAGATTACAGGTGCATAGGACGAAACACCGGGGATAAAAAGTGGGTAAGAATTCTTAACGAAAGTGTTTATTGATGTTGACTACAGCCAAAGTGACTCATATATTTCTTCAATGAAAGCGAAAATGCACTTTCGTTTCGATTTATCGATTTTCTTATAAGTGCAAAAAATTAAAAGAGATGTAAATTTACTACGTCAAAACCAATAATATATATTGCTAACAATACTACTTATTTTTTAACAAATAAGTTGAATAGACATACACACACACACGCACAATTAGATTTCGCAAACATGAAAATTGAGGACTTTGTTGACTTAACGAGTAAAACAAAAGATCAAAAACAATTGGATTAGGGAAGAAAAGAGAGGGGAAATTCAGTCTACACAAAAGAATAAACATGAAAATTTAGTGATTGGACGGCGACATTAGCGGAAAAAGAAAGAATCAAACACTTACAACATGGCAAAGCAAGAAACACATACTAAAACCGAAATAAATTTTAATTCCTTCCTTCTGCGTTGAGAAATTAATTGGAAATAGTGAATTATAAAGTCCTGGCTGGCAATGGTAGGTAACTGAAATTAGAAATTAAACAAATTAGCAACTTTTTGGGGTGGATATGGCCACTTTTGTTGTTGAATGAATCAGGTCGTGTATTAAACCGTTTTAGATATTGTGTTTATATCAAAGGATTAATTTTAGCTGAGATGTCAATCAAATTAGCTTCGAGTATTAACTAAGGGAAATTGAAGCCAATTGAAGTGGATGACTGATAACTTAGGTGTAATTGTTTGGGGAATTCTTGGCTTACTGAGTTGGCTAGTTAGTAATATATCGAGAGTATTCATCCATTTCGGTATTCGGATTCAAAAGAAACAACTATCAAAGGATCATCAATAGAGTATTTTGACGTTAGTCTTAAGAATAAGCAAAACGGCGGTGAAAAGTTTAACTTTGGACTCGTCAATTTAAATAATGCTTGTGAGCTTGCATAAACGGATAAACTAGGTCTATAAACTATAATTATATAAGCAGGCTTCAATTCAGGCTAGTTTATTAACTCAATCTTTTCGAATTGATAAAATTATTTGTTGTAATGTACTACGCTACTAGCTCCTTTATTTCAAGCCTTCAACGCACACAGTCAGTCAGGAATGGCTAGTATCTAAGAAGTAAACATACAGAGAGTATAAAATACTAGCGATTGTGATTCGATTCCAAAATATGACCCACACAGAGGCAGAAGAATGGACTTCTACAAACTTATTGGCTGAAAAAGCCTAGCAGGGCTAGAGCAAGCAGTCCAAAGTCATCCCACTACAGTTCTCTTTCTCCCTGTCTCTCTCTCCCTCCCCCCCCCCTCCCCCTCTCTCCC